AGAAGCTGGTTCTTAGGATAAAGAATGGAACACAGGCACAGAAAATTAATGAGACGAAAGAATAAAGTGCTAGAGTGAGAAGGTGATTATCTCCAACTCAACCTTCCTCCTCAAATACGCCCTACCCAAGTATGTGGCCTCTCTGGCCTGCATTGTTGACTTTCCTCCTCACACTGGCTAAATCATACTCTTCCTTGGTGTCTTGATTTAGAAAGCTCCTTAAGGAAGCTTTCTCTGCCAGCTGAAGCTGGTGGGTGGCCTCCTATGTGTGCCTATAGCACCTCTTGGTGTCCAGATCATAGCATTTATCACCATGACAACCACCATTGGGATATTTATTTGCCAAATGTCTTATATATTCTCTACGCATTTTTCTTGATAAAAACTAGTTGAAGTTAGATATTCTAGTTCCATTTGTTAACATCATTTTCACTTTTTATATAAAAAGGAGCTCAAGAGAGATTACATGACTTGCCCAGGAGCACATAGTTTGTGGGTGGTGGTAATTAGGGTTTGAGAGCAGAGATGATCTACGTCAAAGCTTGTCCTTTTAGCCATCCTCTTTCCCCAGACTCTTGATCACTGCATTGCCCTGTCTGGTGGTTGGCTGGTACAGAGCAGTACTCAAAGGTATTTGTTGAATGGATGTGGCTGAATATGAGTGAATGAAGCTATTTGTTAAGCCAATTAGCCTTCTAACAGAACTGAGTGAAGGATTGTGTAGTACTGCTGTTAAGAAGTCCTTAACAAAAATATCTTTTATGAAATCTATAACCGGTAGATCGGATGTGCCCCACACCATACTCTGCTCAGCGTTGCAAATTTTCGAATTGATGGTGGTTCTCAGTCCATCCCTTGTCCTAATCCCTCGACCTAAACGTTGAAAGACCACCTGGAATCTTTGCTTGGACTCTAAATATTATATGGCTACAGCATTCCAACATGGGTTCTCCCTGCACACAGAATTGTCAGAGCTCTCTTAATCTAGGAGCTGCAGTGTTCAGCGAAGCTAGAGTGGTTGCGTTTGTTTCCCAACACTTGTACTGCATATGACTCCAAATGCAGTGACACTATGTCGTCCACATCCAGTTAACTATGCTGTAACACCCGGGAAAAAGGTTGACACATGAAGCGTTTTCCGTGGCTGCTAACACGCTTAGTCAGCACAATCACTAGCAGGATGAGTGGGCAAGTCAAGGAAGTATCTTCCTTACAAGTATCACGTCCCAACTGTTCTTTAAACGCCACAGGATCCCTATCACAGAACAAAAAAGAGAAATACACAAACAACCCTAAACCAAATTTATCAGTGACCCCCGTTGCGTCCTAGTCGTGCAAAGACTAGGCTGGTTGTTTTTAAGATCTTTTCAGCCAAATGCAAAGCTACTTTCAGAAATGTTTTTTGCCCACGTGGATCGCGCAGACGCTAATTACTAACGGGCTAAGAAACACGCAACCAGGGAGACTGGCCGCACCTCCGGGAATAAACTGGCACCTCTAGAAATAAAGCTCCGCAGCCAATGCGGCGCCACCGCCCGCGGGATTGGCGGCCTCGGCCGTGACGTAGCCTGGGCGGGCCGAGTCGGTTTGCGACAGAGGCCGCGGGTCCCGGCCGGGGAAGCTGAGAAGAGGTATCTGCAGCGCAGTGCTCGGCCCGCGAGCTCGCTCTTCGCCAGCCCGGAGGGCTTCTTTCTTCAACGCGCGATTCGCCGGCGCTGCAGAGCCTCGGCCCGGAAACCCGGCGGGGGTGTGAACCTGAGACCAGCAGACTCCGGCGAGGCCAGGACTCCCCAGCGCGAGGGCGGCAGGGGACGCAGAGGTTTGGCCTGCGGGCGCGGGGCGGGCGCGGGGCGGGCGCGGGGCGGGCGCGG